ATGTGCTGTTGTATTTTTATTCTCTTCGTATATTTAAGATTCAAAAATCAAAGTAACTACTCCACTAAATGACACAAAACGTGCACGAAAATTCCCTTTTTGCGGAATTTTCGTGCACGTTTTGTGTCATTTAGTGGAATAGTTACTTTGATTTTATCTTTTGAACAAGGCAGACAGGCAGCTTGTTTTTATGAAAATGATGACTTCTTCCCATGATGGCATACTGACGAGTTGAGTGTGTTGCAATATTGACGAGTTGGGAAAACTTTTTTTTATATAAGAAAAACTTGTTTTTGAGTAAAGTAAAAAGAAAGCAATGTTGCTTAAGTTTTTTTTTGGTTCAAAAAATACATAAAACGCGTATATCTTATGCACGAAACTTTTCAATGCTGCTGTGTAGCATGAAATTGTAATACAGGATGGTTCCGACTAATTTCTGGCTATTCTGAGGAAAGACTCTAAACTTAAATGAAATCATCAAGTTACCCTTGATCCTAACTAGCCCCATCCTCCCCCTGCCATCATAGGAGTAGTGTATGCCTATGATGGCGTACTTGTGCTTTTTTTAATATAGGAATAACTTATAAAAAAACAAAACTGATGAAAACTCCGAGGATTTTAATTTTTCTACGTGTAACAAGGAATGTATCCATACCAAAACTTTATTATTGGTCTTCAGGATACTGAATGATGAAGCTTTAAAGTTAAGTATACCATCGTAGGCGTCTTTCCCCTAATTTCTTTAGTTTTATATATTATTAAAATAATTTCTTTAGTTTTATATATGCTTATATTAACACGTTAACACGGAGAACTTATATTACATTGTTTTTTTTTTTAGTACGTCTAACAACGTAGCAGACATTCCCTAGATACGCCCCTATTATCTTCATAAGTTTATTTAGCATTAGCGTTTAAAAAATTTACTTTAATTTTATCATATATTTCTTGTCTTAGCCGTCAATATTCTGTTTAAACTGTAACATAATCATAAAAAACCATATTTAGTTATATAAAGTTTATCAACGATATTATTTATAAACAGTAAAATACGTATCGATAATAAAAGCTAGAGGTCACAATAGTAAACTGAGAAGGCAATATACAGGAAATATAAAACGAATTTTTTCACAAATAGAGTAGTAAACGACTGGAACAATCTTCAACAAGAAACAATAGACGCAGTCAGTATCAACCAGTTCAAAAAAAATTGGATGAACATTTTAAATACTAACTTTTATTATGTTTGAATGTTAGTGTGTTACAGCTGTTAAAGTTACAAACTCTACGTAGTTTGGACTCATCACTCTTTAAGTGTACAGCACTTTTTAATTTTGCTTTGAATGACAGAGGTTAATACTACATTCATTTTATTAAAAGATTATTTCACGAACATTATTATATTATATTATTAAAATAAATTTAAAGAAATAAAATTAAAAAATAGTAATAATAATAAATAATAATAAAAGTTATAATAAAAAAATCAAACAAAAAAAAATTTAATTCATAACTTTAAAGTTGTTAAAATTGTTCATTCATTTAGCTGACGTTTTTAATTCTTCACAAACGAGAGCGCAAAAAGCTAAATTAATTTATGCCGCTAATTTGCATCATTACCGCAAAAATTTCTTTTTTATAAAAGCATCTTATTATTGTAACAATGCAATTCAAACCTTAGAAAAATAATTTTGTAACTGTAACTAATACTTAATTTAAAATCCTAAAGATCGTGATATCAAAGATTAAGTTGTATTTTGTGATCATAAACAAATAAAGTATTAACGTAACTTTTCGAGTTTCTTTTTTAAAAACGTATTTCGAAAAATAATAATGTTATGAAAACTCCAGGATCCAGGATCCTGTTCCTCGATTTCTAAAATATTTTTAAAACTTTCAGACAGTTGCTCAACCCTCCCCGTTGGAACGGGTTGAGCAGCTCGGTAAACTTTTGGAAAGATTTTCTTAACCAATTTTTAGCTGGTTAAATTATCTTTACAATAGTAAAAAAATTGTGTAAATCCGACGTACCATTGATAATGTCGGTTAGATTTAGTAAAAATTGCTCTACTTGCCCCGCTCTACCCTACAATTTTTCTTATGCCATGTTTGTGGATCTTTTTCTGAATAAGGTTAAGGTTCAAATATTTGTTATAAGTTTAACCAATATCATTAGGCACTTCAACATCTGAGCGCGTAATATCGATAATCGATAAAACGCGGCTAAAGAAAAAAGACCTGAGGTTTTATGCCGACAAAATAGTTTGAAGTGTATGTTCTTCCATCGTTAAAACGATGACTTAAAATACGATAATTTTTTATTTGCTTATTGCAAAAAGTAGAGCCACAGCTTAACAACAGTAACAAAAACATTTTTTTGAGATTTTTATTTTTAAAGATAATTTGGTTCAAAAATTAATGTCATTAAATAACACAAATATTTGTTAATAGTGTTAATAGTGACCTAGTCCTAATAGTCTGCATAACTTTGAATTGTAAGTGTTGATCACACAAAAAATATATCTCCCGCCAAAAAGTTAACTTTTAAGAATTTTTTTTTTCTTCTTGCACTTGTCAATTTTCAAGACTTAACTCGTCAATTTTCAAGACGGAAATTTAATTTTTAAAATTAGTTTACTTTTTTTGGAAAACCCTATTTGCATTACCACTAAATAAATACTTTTAAAAAAGTACTATCACAGATTTATTATGTCAAAGGTAGGTCGTTTTCTAGTCATTAAATTTCCTGTAAATATAATTTTTTTGTATTATATTCTTAGTTTAAAATAATAACGGTCTTGTTTATTGTTACTTTTGAAAAAGAACGAATGTAACGCAAACGTTGATGCGATTTTTAAAAACGTAAAACCTTAAAGTCCAACAACAAAAAAAAAAAAAACCTTAATTTTTGTGGTTTAAAAGTTGCATAAGTTTTTGACTAATAATAATAAAACGATAAGTTTGTTATTTTTTAACTGTTAATATTTAGTTCCAACTTTGGAACTAAATATTAACAGTTTAATGGCATTTGTTTTGTTTACATTTTTTAAAAAAACGTTGAAGTGCCTAATATCGTATAACTCTAAAATGTAGAAATACTATATAGATTCAGATGACTGCGACTTGTTAAAAATAAGTTAACTTAATTAAAAGACGCAAAAGCTGCAATTGTCTCTTGACGCAAATGCTACAAATGCCTCTCGTAAAAGCTGTGAGCAACAAATCAGAATACATTTTTCTATTTATTTCTAACGTATCGATTAAAATTTGAGAAAGAAAACGTTGATCGAAATCAACGCAAAATTAACGTTAAATCAACGCAAAATCAACGATTCATTTTTAACCATTCTTTAATAAATTTTTTAATCAATCGAAATGCAATTTTAAATGCATTTCTTTGATGGTTTTTTAAAATAAGTTTAAGTAATAAATAATAATATTATATATATATATATATATATATATATATATATATATATATATATATATATATATATATATATATATATATATATATATATATATATATATATATATATATATATATATATATATATATATATATATATAATTATTATTTATATACTCAGCGTAGTTTAGGAGAGATTTAAAAACAAAAATTTACATTTTTAAACTTCGACTATTACTATTATATATTTTTAAAAAGTAGAATTTAAGCTTTTCTTATATAATTTATAATTTTTTATAAATCTTTTTTTAACCAACGCATTGAGTTAAACAAAACTACCACTAAAATACATAAAACGCGACGGGGCAGCGCACACATGGATTAGATCTCAAAAAAGCTGGTCAAAAAGGGGTAAAAAAAAAGTTTCGACACGATAATTATGGACTATTAGATCGGCTTCAGTGATGTTGGGACTACTTAATGTTGCCTGTGCAGAAAATCAGCAGTTCATTTCGTGCGCTATATTGCATGTCGAACGTGGCAGTCCTTTGACTGTCGCAAGCACGACAAAAATAAAAAACTTTTCTTCAAAGATAAATATTTTTGTTGTGTGCACGTAAAACAAATAATTTTAATATGTAATTCATTTCACGAGAAATGTACTAATTAAAAAACAAAAATATTATTATTATGTCATTAATTATAAACATTTTTTTAAAATTAACTTCCCAGTGCGAAAAAAGATATCTTTAGACGAATAATAAACGTCTTTTTTATGACTTATTTTGTCTTTTTATAATCAGCCTAAATAAAGACGTGGAAAAAATGTCTCTAAAAAAGAGGTCGTAAAAACGTCAATCGGTTGTACAAGACGTAGAAAAGACGTCTTTTATATCGATGATCTTTAAAAAAAAGAAATTAGAAAATTTTCATCTAAATGTTAAATTAAACAACACCCAGTATAAAATTTTTTTCTTTAGGTAGGGGGAGGGGGAGGGGAAATTCAGTAACGTTTCCCACTGGGAAACAACTTAAGTTGTTAATAAGTAAATCATAATTTGCTTATTATAATTATAATAAACAAATTATTATTTGCTTATAAACAACTTTCGTTGTTAATAAGGAAATCATTATTTTCTTAAGAAAATTCAAAATAATTATTGCCCATAGAACCTAACAAAATTGGGTTTTAACCCACAGCATCGTAATTATGATATTTTTGGTTCGTTCTGATTGGCCCGTTTTTTGTTTACAAAATACTTTTATAAAACTTTTTTTTATGTGAAACGTTATTGCATAGGAAATTTAATTAAAAATCAACTATTATCGGTAAGCAGTTTATTTTATAATTTATGTAATAAAGTAATATATTATGTAAAATATACATAACATATATGCTTATATATATATATATATATATATATATATATATATATATATATATATATATATATATATATATATATATATATATATATATATATATATATATATATATATATATATATAAATATATATATATATATATATATATATATATATATATATATATATATATATATATATATATACACACACACACACACACACACACACACACACATATATATATATCTTTTGCTTTGGATACAAAAGACCAAGTGACGTCATAGAAGACAGAAAAATAACAATATCTGTTTTCAATAAGTTAGCTTTCATAGCAAATCTGAGAGGTACAAATGTTTAGCTTGGTTTAAGTATTACATAATAAAATACATCGTTGTAATTTTGTCAGTCATTTTGATGGTCGTAGATTTCTTTAGCACACTCATTTTTATATATTTTTAGACAGTTTACCGTTTGACTCCTGTCCCAAACTAACCTAGTGGGTTCAAAAAGAAAGGACCGCGCTGGAAACATGAGGAGGTTAAAAGAATCAGCCCTTTTTGACTTGATAGCCGGTAAGTCTAAAATGTTTCATTCAGCTTATCAATTTTCATTTGCTTTTTTGTATTACATTCAAGCAATAGACTGTTTTTTATGTTCACTCGTTTTTTAGAAGTCGTAAACAGCTCGTATGAAAGGATTTCTCGACGTAAAAAAGTTGATTTTATTCAACAACACCAAGAAACAGAGCTCGCTCAAGAAACAGAAAAGAAAGAGAAAGATGAAAAATATTCTGTTTAACAATACTGTTGTTTTATTTATAAATTATATTCCTATGTTTAAACATATAAAAGAAAATGCTTCCTCCCAGCAAACATGTCAGCGTTGAATCAACGTTGAAAACCGGTCGCAAAAGATGTTGCGGAAACGTTGACAAAGTAATCGATTTTGCAAAGATATGTGACGTTGTTAAAGAGACGTTGATTAAACATTGTAGCGTAACGTTGAAAAAACGTTACTAAAAGACGTTACAAAAATGTCTCAACTAAAGGTTGAAAAAGCGTTACTAAAAAGACGTTGCACAGGCGCCGCAACTTAACGTTGAAAAAACGTTACTTGAAAAGCGTTACTTTAACGTTGTTAAAGCAGTTGATTTTGCAAGGATTTGTAACGTTGGTAGTAAAACGTCGATTTAACGTGACTCAAAGACGTCGAGTAAAGGTTGAAATATAACGTCAAATCAACGCTCAAATGCGCTGGAGAAAAAATCGCAAAATATTATTAAACGTGATTAAACTTGGTTATAATGTATATTGAATTTGCAAATAAAACAAAACTGTATGTTGAACTCTGCACTTGCAATATTTCCAAAGTTGATTTTTAATACAAATAGTAATATACAATGAAAAAACATAAAAAATATACAATTTATTTATATAAAATTTACAATTTATAGATAAAAATATAAACATCTTTTTTAAGATTTATGTGTGTGAGTGAATTGACAGGATTTACGTGTGTGAGTAAAATTTATGTGTGTGAGTGGATTTACAGGATATCGTATCGATAAGCCAGGATATCATTGAGATACAGAATCTAAATCAAAAAATAAAACTTGTATCATTATCAATATGAAAGCAAATGTTTAAAAAATGTTATTGAATTACTATGATTATTATTAAATTTAAAAAGTAAAAATAAATATATATAAATATATATATACAAATTATATATATATATATATATATATATATATATATATATATATATATATATATATATATATATATATATATATATATATATATATATATATATTATATATATATATATATATATATATATATATATATATATATATATATATATATATAGTGATTATATTGTCGTAATAGCATAAAGTAATTGTTTTTAAAAATAACACAACGTTTTTTATTCTTGAAATGTTTTGTAATAAACAACTGGGGTTGATATTTGACTGGGGCCGGGGCCGGGTTTGATAAAATCTAGCCGGGGCCAGGGCCGGGTTTGAGACCAGGCTGCATAAACATTTATACATCCTAAAGTATATTTTTTAAACTTAAAATTCATGCTATATTTTGTATATATATGCATATATGAACATCATTGTGATCAACATGATCATCATAATCATCATAACCATCATCATCATCATCATCATCATCATCATCATCATCATCATCATCATAATCATCATAATCATCATGATTATCAACAGCATAAAAGCGGAAAGCTTGACAATGATAATAAAAATTATGTTGATGTTGTTGATTGTCATCATGATAATCATCATCATCTTTATTATAACACTATGTAAGGCACACTCTTCAAATTTTCTTACATCTACCACAACCATTTTATACTGAAGCTGCTACCACTCTACATGTTATTACCTGAATTACTTTACTTTTTTCTAAAAAAAAAAGGTTGTTTGATACAACGTTTTTTCTAATCTGTCAAAGATTATGCCTACTTTTTATGTCTTGTTAGAGTCACACTACACATCCATCTGATCATTTTCTCTTTCGGCAAATACTACACTATATAAATACTAAAGTTTATACAACAATGAAAGGATATTGTATGCCAGCATCTAAACAAATAGCAAACAAATATGCTTATATCCATAATATGTGTGCAAAAAGTGCATCTTGGAAGCTTATATTGCTTCTGGAATAAAAGTTTGGAAGCTTTTATTACTTCTCTTCAGTTTTAAATCAAGCCTCATTCTACTCTACATCTTTCAACATTAACTACGTTTTTCAGCTTTTTTATAAGAACATTTCTCTAAGAAAAAATTGTCCTTTTTATTATTGCAATAAGCTAATGTATAAATAAAGTCTTGTCTGATGTAAATCTCTGTTATTCTCAGTTTACTAAACCTTGTATCTTATCTTAGATGTTGATTCTAGAGACTTTTGGTTAGTTTTCAACAGTGTTGTTAACTAAAGTAAGTCTGACGTTTAATCTCTATCTTATGGGTCTCATCTTTTTACTTTACCCCAGAGTAAAACAGAGCTATTTACAAGGAAATCTTACTCTAGTTTGACTCTGGAATATAACATTTATACCCTTCGTGACAGTAAAATATTTTTGCTAAACTTTAAATTAATCCATTGTTAAACATCGAAATTACTCTAGGTTCCAATACTAAAACTAATTCTCAATTAAACACATCTACAATGTTTGCTTCAGAAAAGATTTCCATCATAGATTTAAAAAAGTGTTCTCCAGAACTATCTACAACTTTTGCTAAACTTTAAAAAAAGTGCTAAATACGTGGTTCCTATTTTTCAAATCTCTAGAAAACACTTTGACCTCTCCAAGTATCCTACGATTCTTCTTCACTTTGTTAATAGTTTCTTATAATTTTCTATGAAAAGGTTTTGAGGTAATTAAATTACTTCTTTCTAACTACTGTAGTGAAGTTATTCTTGAAGGCTTACCCTCTTTATTTCAAGTAACTTTAAAATTCTATATTTGTTCCTGTAATATTTTTTATCTACAATAACAATCATAATGAAATCTAAAGTGGCTCTATTTGCTGACGACTCCACTTTATACTCTTGTTTTGACAATAAATCTTCACTTTTTAATTGCTTAGAACAAGCAGCAAAGTTTAAATCTGATCTCTCTTCTGTAATAACCTAAGGCTTGCTGTGTCTTATGGATTTAAATTCTGGACTTAAAATCCACAATTTTTGTTAGACAACAAAATTCATTTATTTACTACAAAAAAATATTGCAATATTGTTGGTATTCCTATATTGACAAATAAAAACCCTATAATTATTATAATATATTATATAAAAATAACAATAATATATATATATATATATATATATATATATATATATATATATATATATATATATATATATATATATATATATATACATTAAATTTACGGTTATTCGAACTGGCACTTATTTTAATTTTCTCTCTCTCTCTCTTTATATATATATATATATATATATATATATATATATATATATATATATATATATATATATATATATATATATATATATATATATATATATATATATATATATTATATATATATATATATATATATATATATATATATATATATATATATATATATATATATATATATATATATATATATATATATATATATATATATATATATATATATATATATATATATATATATATATATATCAGGCCTTGTTAAGAAGCGTTACGCAGCTCGCATTTTGCCTGCGAGCGATTTGCCTACGCGTTCAGCAGTTATGCGTTACGCAAAAACTTTAATCTTTAAGAATATTTAAATTATCTTTTTATATCGTTTATGTGACGTTCATTCAGAAGTATTAAAGTCGTAAGTAAAAGCATTTAACCGCAATTGTAAACTAATAGATTTTTTGTTAAAGAAACAATTTGTTTAATAATATTTAATTTTAAATATTAGATTTCATAAGTTTATAAACAATCAAATTTAAAAAAAGAAATATTTTCAATTTATTTTATTAAATTTAAATATTTTTTTAATAATTATAGTTTTTAGTAAATAAATTTATTAAATTTAATTAAAATTCTTTCATTTAATTTTAAAACAGAGCATTTTAAAATTTTTCAATTTTAAAATGCTCCGTTTTTTTTATAATTACCAAAGTAAAAAAAGATTTGATAAATTTAATTCAAGTTACTTTAAAATGTTCGTATTACATATAACTTTATTTTAATTTTAGTTAAGTTTCAGGTAAGTTCCAAATACTGGTCTGAAAGATGCGCTTACAAAAGCGCATTATTTTCCAGTTTTTATTTTTCCATTATTTTACAGTTTCATTCATTATTTACAGAAGCGCATTATTCATTTTATAACTACAAGTTAATAAATGACGTCAATACTTTTAAACTCGAGTTTGTTTGGGTTTTCCCTTTGCCGTTTGCCAAAGAATTTTTTTTTATAAAACAAACTAAGGACGTATTAACAATACGTCCTTGAACAAACTAAAATACAAACCTATTAAAAATAACGTGATCAGTAAATAAACTTTTTAAAAACCCAACTTATCTTTATTTTATTACTTGAGCTATAAATATAAGATACATAAATTTCAAAATTATAATGATATTTGTTAAAAACAAATTCTGCTTATAACATCTGAAAACCGAAAACACTATTTTTTTTTTGGATTGAGAAAAAAAAAATTAGGTTTTACTGTACATAAAAATAAAATAGTTTAATGGAAATAAAAAAAAACAGCCGAAAAAGCAGTAAATTTCGAATATTGTTGGCAAGAATATTGTTGGCAACCACAGACCCCTACATTTTATCTCTATAAAAATCAACACTAAAAAAATTGAAGGTTTTGTTGCCAGAAGCTGTTGTCCGCTTGGTTCCTGTAGCAGGATATTATGAAGACTCTGTTGCAGATGCCGAGGAAACAGACTTTGAATATAATGAAAATGTCAACGAAGAGTCAGACAAAGATGAAAAAAGATCAGAATTGTTGTAACTGAAATAAAATGTTTTTTGTATATTTAACACCATCTTCTATCATTTTATCCATTTTTTAGCATTTATGCACACATTGGATCCAACATTTTGTTTTATAATTTTTTTAAACTTTTTTTGTGAAATATTTTAATTTTTGGCCTGAAAGATTCCTTAAAACCCATTTATGAACAATTTAAACAATTTTTTAACATATATGTCCGCCATATTGGATCCACAATTTTTTTTTTCTTTTTTTTTTTTTAGTGAATTCTTAATCAGTAACCTCAAAACATGTATGTCATAAAATTTCAGGAAAATCAAACAACGTTTTCATAAT